CCCCCCAACCATCTCCTGCTTTCCCAAGTGGTATATGGTGCAATTCTTAGCCCAAGTATTTGTTAAATAACTTTGTTTTTGTACATACTCCCATACATTTTCTTGTGTTTTACCCAGACATGGTCATCTGCTACCTATCTGCAAGACAAGCTTCAGGTTATTTAAAAATGTTTCCTCCTGTTTCCCATTACCCTCAGAAAATAACATACATAATGATTTACTGGAGCACACATTTTGCAAAAGTGAAAGCTTTGTTTTAAGACATCTCAACTAATGTAATTATCTTTGCACAAGCAGTTACCTGTAAGTATTGCCTCAGTGGTTTATGTGTATATCGAAAACTGGCAAGTAGGATATAACATTGTCATGGCCAAAGCTGAGATTCTGTACTGTGTTTTATTTCCTCTATCTCTCCTCTCGAGAAAGGGGAGCAGCTTCTTGTGTTTTATCTGGTCAAGCCACAAAGTGTGCAGTCACACAGAGTTGGTGTCTTGTTTGTGTTTAGGTGTATATTTTGTAATGCTTAATTTAAAGACCTGTTTTTGAAGTCCTGTGCCCAGTTTGTCACTGCAAAGGAATTTTTTCAGTTGTCAGCTGCAGAACCATGTAGCAGGAATGTGAGGATCCGAGGATTAAGGAGCTGCTTTGACATTGGCTGTACTCAGCGAGTGTGTTTACTGCTCACAGCTGTGGACCCTGTTAAGGGACAGTACGACCGATGCTCTGGAAGCGCTGGGATGCGATGATTATATCATGTAATTATGTTTGAAACCTCTGAACCCTGCCTACTTTCCAGTGGAAATAAGTACATGTGTCTTGACAGTTCATAAAGACTGTTATAAATGTACAGAAAATTGTTTATCAGTTCAAGCTTTTAACGTGAATGTGCTTAATAAATTGCAGTTACAAAATATGAAGCCTATTGCAGATCTTTACTCAGCTTACATGGTGACAAACGTGGGCACAGAAGTGGTGTGTGCAACTGAGGAGGAAGCAGGCAACTCTTCTGAGACACTGTCATAGATTCAAGAGGCGGCAGAGTAGCAGGCGTGTGTGCGGGCTCTAGTCTGGAATTCATCCACACCTACATGCTTTCTTTTTTAATTTCTTTTTGCTTCTCCATTTCATTCCTCGTCTTCCTTCAGTTTCTTTCCTTTAGAGCCTTTTACAATGGATTAGTCAGTGTGGTAGCTAGACTGGGCCGTGCCTGGAATATCGGTGACTCCTGGCTGTCAGAGGCGCTGGCACACGTGGCTAGAGTGGCAGCGGCAGCAGGGATATCCTCCCTGTCTTTGGGTTTGGTGGCAGCAAAGCTCCTCCAGCAATTGGAGGTGGAGGCAGTGGACTTTTCAAGAGAATGTGGCCAGGAAGGCGACGTCTCTGAGGAGGGCAACCGGAATGGGACTGTTGGGAGACAGTAGTGGTGCCCTGGTCTGGCAGTGAACTGGGGACGTCTGGTTGGTTTGCAGCAGGCCTGAGCGGGGACTCCTGGTGTTGGTTAGACAGCGGTGGCACCCTGGCATAATTGAGTCCCCGGCTCTGCCGCCATCTCCTGGTTTCAGGGCAAGTGTGGGTTCAGCATGGGAACCGACGTCAGCAGCAGCAAAGAGATGATGCCTAACACATCATGATTCCTACGTTGGTGGGTCTGGTGCATGTGGAGAAGTGGTGGCGATGCAGGTGTTGCTGAGCTGGCTCAGGGCTTGGAACTCTCTTTCAGTTACATCCTTTATCCTTCTATTGTTAAACTATTCAAAATGGCTCTGGATTGTGACTTTTTTGAATCTTTTCAATGAATGATGAAGTAAAATACAATGAAAAATGCAAGTGACAATAAATACATTATTAAATCACTGTTCCATTTAGTTATCAGCAATACAGAGGAAGTAGATTACTACAATATATAAAAATCTGATTTGGATTCCCCTGAATGAACGTGATTACAGGATGATCTAATGAAGGTGTTTAAGATGATGAAAGGAGTTTGTAGAACAGATAGGGGAAAGATATTTCCTCTGAGGAAATGTGAAATGTGCAGAATTAAGGCAAATGTAACATAAATATGTACTCAGATTTTTATCTTTATTTACTGGTGGGATATGGACATCGCTTTATTGCCCATCCCTAGTTGCTCTTGAAGTTGATGATGAGCTGCCTTTTGAACCACTGCAGTCCATAAGCTCTGTAAGTTGATCCACAATGCCCTTAGGGAGGGAATTCCAGGAGTTTGACCCAATGAAGTAAAGGAATGGCAATATGTTTCCAAGTCATGATGGTGAGGTGGCTTGGAGAGGAACTTGCAGATGGTGGCGTTCCCATGAGCAGTGTTGTTGAAAACAATTCGCAGAAAGGATAGCATAAGTTTGGATCTCTCGCTGATGAAAATGTTTCTGTTAGGATATTAGAGCATGCAGAACCAGAGAAAGGACCACAATGCAGGCCAGCTAGAATCTGTTTAAGTGGTTGAGACAAATTTGAAACTAGCTTCCCCTATTCCTATGCAGTCCTCCACTGGAATGATTTGTTGGCCATTGGAGGTTAGTCCATTCAGCTGCCAACTGAGGCAGTGCAACATTTTACTGTGGATAAGTGAAACTCCCTGAGTTGTAATGAATCTGTGGACAGTGAGCAGTGGCGAGTTTTGTCCATTTCTTAACCCAGTCTGATGTGGCAAATGGAAGATCTCGGGCTGATCTAAACACTGTCTTGAGATTGAGACTGGGTCTGTCGGGGGAGCTATTAGTTTTCCTACAGCAAATGGTCTGCAGCCATTCAAGAAGCAGGTAACAAGCAGGATAGACACAGGGGAGCCAGTGAGTGTAACAATTGGATTTCCTAAAGGCTTTTGGTAAGTTACTGCACATAAGACTATTAATAGAGCCTATGGTATTGGGACCAAACAATGGCATAGAGAGTTGGCTAACTAATAGAAGACAGTTGGGGGATAAAAAGGACATTTTCAGGGTGGCAACTGATAACTAGTGTGCCACAGGGATTAGTGCTGGGGCCACAATTTTTTACAATCTATATTAATGACTTGGACAAAAGAAGTGAATGTACTATCGTCAAGTTTATGGATGACATGAAAGTAGGTAGTGAGCATGATAGACCGCAGAAGGATGTAGACAGATTAAGTACATGGGCAAAAACTTGGCAGATGGAATATAATTTGGGAAAATGTGAGATTATGCACTGGCAGGAAGAATAGAGCAGAATAATATTTACATGGGAAGAGGCTGCAGAAAGCTACAGCACACAGGGATTTGGGGATCCTCATTCATGATTGAGTCACAAAATGCATCTAAGTTCAGTGGGTAGTTGGGAAGGCAAATGGACTTTTAGCTTTAATTTCAAAAGACATGGTGTTTAAAAAGGGAGTTCTTGCTAAACTAGGACAAGGCGCTAGCTGGACCCAGCCAATGGCTCCTACATCCTCTGAATGAATAAGAACAAACCTGTAACTAACCTTGTGCTGTACCTGTCTTGAGAGTATTTGAAAGGGGTAGTGTAGAGGAAGCTTTAGTTTGTATCTAACCCTGTGCTGTGAGTGGTTGAGAGTTCAATATGATTGTTTCACTAGAAATGTTTCATTCTCTGTACACTAATTCATACTCCCAAAACAAAAATTAATTTGTTCTCTCACTATTTCATCCAGCTGTAAGTGGCTGTCTAACTAATAAAGCAGTAATGGGATGAGAAAGGTTAACATTTCAGCTGTTAGATTTCATCCAAACATGACTGAATTTATTTCAACACTTCTGGGTGCTGACTATGATTTCCAACTTCCCTTTCTTTTAAATTTCAGTCACTGGCATTAACAATTCTTCAGCTTATCTATGTGAAAACATTAGTGTGTTAAAAATATTTCTGAGTTCTTGAGATTTTTTTAAAGACTCCGGTTAATCCAGGCCAAGTTTGAAAGGATGTGGTGGGGCCCAACATTAGGCCAGTTCCAAAAGC